AGAATAGAGAGTAGAAGAAGGTAGTTACAAATAGCAGCTAAAGTCATGTGACTGGTTTCAAAAATGAGGATGGAAATGACCACCTGTATAAATCCTTTTGTTGTCATTCCTATATACTTTTGCCGTGAATTCTTTCTTTCCAATGACAGCACTAGACTTTGAGCTCATTGAAGAAAGCCATCTAGTTTATTGCAGATCTCATGTAATTTGTACAGTTCTTGAGACAAGTTAGATTTCTCCATGTATATTTGTTAATAAAATATAGAAAGTAAGAACCCTTGTAGCCATCAAGTTGTTTGAACACAACTACGCTTCCAAAAATTACCAAATGAACTAGAGAACTCTATTTCACAACAGTGCGTTCTCATTTCTCTTTAAAACATTCTGTCTATAACCTTTGAGGTTCTTTTCAACCCATTTACTCTCTCATTGATTAAATGGCTCACTAGGAAGTTTTATACAGTCTAAGCCATAACACATTACTTATTAATCTCATTCAAATTAATGAGCTGTGTATGTTTCTAAGGGGAAAATGACTATTAAGAATTGAAATGTCCAAAGATGTGTAAGAGTAATTTGCATTGAGTAATCAAAAAAATCAGATTTCTCTAAACTTATTTAATATTTTTCTTTCAGTTGCCATAGGAATCCATTTGAACTACCATAAACAAAAATCCTAATGCTATGACAATAAATTTTTATAGTTTTAAAAAAGTAGACTTTTAAAATTCAAGTCACCAGTGAACATCTTTTGCACAGTGTAAACAAAGCTTACAAGGTAAACTTCCATTAAGAGGACTAAAGGAACAAGCACCATTGAGCTGTATTCTGCATCCATCACAGCCAGCTTTGGGAAGTATGGCCCTTCATGGAAATTATGCACATTTTCAAAAACTACAAAGCAATGACAAAAGAACAGTATGAAAAAAGATCCCTCTCATCTTCTGATCAAACAGCAGTTGAGTTCCTATGTGTGACGCCTTTGTCCTGAGCTAAAAGAATGTCTAGTCAAGAGTACAACTGTAATAATTAACCCGTAACAACGTTAATTGCATAATGCTCTGTTTATGCATGAGAGTTCTGCTTCCTCATGGGGTTCTCCCAGTTCCACAAACAACATATGATCCCCTGACCACCTAAAGTATGTGCTGTTGAGGACACATGTAGCAATGGAGGGGTGGGGGCATAGGCATGGGCTGCCTGGCAGCCTTCACTCACTCTCACCACACTTTTCCGGCATCCTGATTAAAAGAAAAGTGCAACCCCTAGAGCAAAGGCCACAGGAAAGGTGGCAAGGCAGTCAAGGAAAACCCTGCTTCCTGAGTCTGCGTAGCTGAATGTTGTAGCTACCAACCCTGGGAGAAAGACCTCTCTGAGGAGAGGATGAAGTGGCAATGTGTTTAGCATTGATGAAACACACAGAGAAAAACAAAAAGTGGCCACTGGGGCTGATTATGGTAGAATGGCCCTGAAATATCTATGAAATGATAAACCCACCTATGGGTTCTCCTTCTTTCTCCTTTCATGGGCTGGGAAAGCAGCCAATCAGAAGCTAGTGCAGGTGCCTCTTGCCTTGCTGCTGATTTGTTTGTAAATTGGCAAGAGAAAGTCAAAGGGAGGCAGGTGTCACCTCTTCTGGCCTATACAGACAGAATTAATGTTGATTATTTTTTGGTCACTAGCTAATCCAGCTGTAAATAATGCTCCCTTCCCACTCAAGTTCATATTTGCATTTGAATTGCCTGCATCAAAACACTGAGGTGGCTCTAAACTCAATACTCTCCTTATTGGGTTTTCAGTCTACAAATACCACCACCTGCTATTTATTCTCCTTATTTTGAGTACTATTTCATGGAGAAACAATATATCTAGATGAGTCTGTAAGACTCCATAGCTGATACACTCCATCAGGTGAACTAGGAGGGTTCAGGAGAGATTGTAGCTTTCTATTTAGCTCACCTCTTTCACTTACACAGGGCTGGCCATTGCCATTGAAGGATGATAGAGTCCCTCCATCTTACTAAAGGCAGTGGTGTGTTGTAGGGTAGGTATATCCAGTGTTTATAAGCAGGACTGAGGCCCAATTCATCAAAGATAAGAAAATTCAAGTGGAATAAGGCCTTAGTTAAGGCCAGATGGGGTCTCATTTGACCTTAGGTGAAGCAGATTTGGCCACAATATCCTTGAGTGTTCTATGGCTTTTCTCCACAATGTCCAGATATATGGGTTATAGGGGATGAGATTTATGGGTTATAGGGGATGCCAAAGGTGTGAATTATCCTCCAGGAACTGAGGAACTCGTTGAGTTGTTGGGAAATATAAATAGGGCCATTATCAGTCTTTATGGCCCATGGCACCTCCCATAACCAGTGTGGCCAATTTAAGGGCCTTAATAACATGGGAGGCCTTTTCCCCTGAGAGGGCCACAGCATACATGAAGGAGGAACAGGTATCTACCATGACAGGAACATAGCAGAGACTACCAAACAGAGGGTGGTAAGTGACCTCCATCTGCCAGATTGCATTGGGCTGGAGCCCTTGAGGGTTCACACCTCCTTAAAGAGGGGGCCCAAGAGCATCAGAGGAGCACATGGTCTAAGTGTTTACATAGAGAAATGGAACATTACGGGAGAAGCTTATGAATGACCTGGGAGGAGAGATGAAGTTGTTGATGAAGTGCTCCTGCTTGTTCACGTAAGTTAAAGTCTACCATCATGGTCATGGTATCAATTTGATCATTGTCTCTGTCCAGAACACCTGGGAGTCCAGTGTGTGGGTGGATTTGAGAAATATACCAAGGGCGGGCTCTCAGGGATAATATATCTTATATGGACAACATGGTCACATATGAAGGATTTGTTCATTCTTTGACTTAGGAAAAGAGCAGAAAACAAATGACCTGGACCACATATTGGCTGTCAGAGAAAATAATGACAAGCTCAGACTGATATTCCATGAGGACCTTCAGGAGGGCTAGCAGTTCTCCCAATTGTACAGTCAGGGTTGGGCGATACATGGATCACCCTGGATGCTGAGTTAATATCCAGAACCTGTGTGGAACATTGGCCATAACTAGAGAGAAGGAACTTGTTTGCCATCTAGATCTTTCTAGTGTACTAAGTGAACAACAGCAGAATCGGAAGGCCAATCCTGCCAGGGATAGTGAAATAGGGGGCTGCTTTGTTATTGATATTTATGCACCCAAAACCCCTTCTCCACTTACCCCTTATCAACATAATCATTCTAAAATTGTGGTGTTAGTGATATGTCCAGATCAAAGAAAGGAAACTCATTTCTAAGACACCTATTCAGACAGGATATTCATGAGCCAAATTCTGGCCAAAGAACTACAAACGGAAAGTTTTGGCCAGGTCTGAAATCTCCTTGGAAAGATCACATTCCACTGATGTGGCTTGGCTTTGTTCATTTCCTTCTTCCTGTCTGTAAAACAGAAGCAAAAAAGCGAAGCCCCACCAACCAGCCATCGGGTGACCACAGTAAAAGGCATACCTCTAGGGTGGGGGAGATGGCTAACGTCGGTAAAGCACCTGCCCCACTATCATGGGGCTTATGTTTCAATGCCCAGCACCCACGTAAAAGTGAAGTGTTGTGGCACACATCCGGAACCCAGCATTGGTGACAGTACACAGGGAAGAGGGAGCAGAAGAAGGATTCCCAGAGTTCATTCCCAGCCAATCCAGCCCATTGGTGAGCCCCAGGCTCAACAAGAAACCCCTCTTCAACAAATAAAAGGCAGGGTACAATTAAGAAAGCCACCTGACCTCTGGGCTCTGGGCTCTGAAGGTGCGCATGCTCACAAGTGTGTCTCAGTGCCTAACTCATGTACATGGGCGTGTCCCCAGTCACAAGTAAACACCATGGAATGACACAGCTCAGCAGGAAGTATGATCTCTAAGCAAGCATGCTTCATTATATAGTTGCATATCTTTAAAGAATACCACTGGAATTTGACCTAGGGCAGAGTTTCTTGCTTCCTAAATTCATGCTCTTTCTCTGCTGGACAATTCCTTCCATAGGAGTACCAACACATTGTGCGGGACCAGTGAGAAACCACACTGGAAAGCCTAATGATACCCTTGCCTCCAGAGAAACTCCCCCTTCAAGGGGTCAGACACATGTATACACACAGACCAGGGCCATAGAAGAGGCACAGTTGTGTGGATGATACAAAAGGCCATGGCAAAACAAAGGAGATCACTACCCCCAGACAGTTCTCTGATGTCATTGAAAATATTGAGTTACTAATTGTCAAAACGTGCAGGAAAAATTTCAGGAAACGAAGCTGTTGTTCCCGAATCCTCTGACGTCTTTTTCCTCTGGGGTGGAGGGGCAGACAGACGATGCCTCCTTGTGACCTGTACATCTCTTCGTGCCCACTCTGCAGCCACTCGTTCCCTTGTTCATCCTGTTCATCCTCTTGATGTAGAGAGGCGAGAACTATTCCCCAGGCACCGTTCTTACAGTTTGCCCAGAAGCCCTGCTCTGTCAGGACTCAGAACCTCGCCCGAGTCCATTCTGCAATGAGGCTGTCTCCACACTGCCTGCCTTTGTTTACATCAGACAACTCCTGCGTAGGACAGCACCTGGGGTGAGACAGTGAGGCCTGTCCCTTTATTTACACTGTCTGCATCAGACCCAAGAGCAATACATCCCTTCTCTAGATTTGCCCCACCTTCTCCTCTAACTGTTCTTCAGGTTACTTCTTCAATTCATGAGCCTAATATACAGACTCGTTTTGTTGCTGCCAACCAGAAAGATAAGTAAAAGAATAGACTAGTTTTTTGTTTGTTTGCTTGCTTGTTTGTTTTTTTGATGGTTGCCTGAAGGCCCTTCTCTTCCTGTGGAAGAGCGCATTTCCTAAGATTCTAAGAAGAACAGAACGAGAATGCTGCATTGCTCTTCCTTTTGCCTCTGACTGTGCATTATGGAACCATCTCCCTGATCATTAGACCATCAAGCCTTCCTCCGGTGGCTCCTACCCGTGACAAGAGTCAATGTGGAATCGCTTGACACCTGTAAAGCAAAGACGGGCTTCAGAGAAATGGCACAGCCCATAACAATAACAAAACAAGCAAAGATTCAATTCATTTCATTTGTCTTCCCATCGTGGCATAGACTGTTTTATGCCCACCTAAGAACCGCCTTTTGTCTTCATGATCTCTGCATCAAGGACTCCCAGGTCACTTCTCAACACGTTGTCCCTAGCTGTTCCATTTGTCACCGTAACTAGGTGACTTGAAGGGCACTAGTCTGTTGAAACAAAGACAGTGAGTTCTTAATGTGACTAAGCCGGTAACGTCTGGTGTGACCTTGTAGGATAAGCCAGTAACAACTGATGTGACCTTGTAGGATTTAGCCAGGCCCTCTCACCCTAGAACCGCAGCAGCAAACACCTGCCTTGCTCCCATCGAAACAAGCAGATTTTTCAAATGATGAAAGACTTTGAATAAACAAAGAAGTCTGAGGCTGTGTGACTGCTCCCAGGCACACTGTATTTCCAATTACAGGGTGAGTCAGTCTCTGATTAATCACTGTGAGAGCAGCAGTCCCTCCCTGGGAAATGCAGCCAGGAGCATGAACACTCCACGATGAAATATGAATTGAAATCTCACTCACATGACTTGATCCAAAGATGCTATTAGATGTTTTCATTGTCACAACACGTGCAGGAACTCTGATGTCTTCACAGAACACTGAACACTGAGAATCTTGGCAGAAAGGAGGCAAAGAGGAAAATCAAATTGGTACCAGCAAGAATGTATGCTATTGTGATTTAGAAAGTAAAAGCCATAGTTATCGACAACATTTCAGCCTGCCAATGTAAACAAGAGGTGCTAAATGTTACTTTTAACCCAGGAACGGTTTGCATTCTTATTTGATTGTTAGGGGTACTTCATACCTCTGACATAACCTCCCCACTGTCCCCCATGCTTCACGGTCTACTTCTTACTTCATCCTGCACCAGCAGTTGAGAGGTGGAAGGGTCCAAACTTGGTTTTTTATTTTCCTATCAATTAATTTGCATAAAAAAGTAAAATAGTCTCTTGTCTTTTGTTATTTTCTTAACCCCAACATTGCTTCTAAAAAAAAAAAAACTCATAAAAAAAAAAAAAAAAAAAAACTCAAAAAAAAAAAAAAAAAAAACAAGAGAAACTACCAAATGAAACAAGAGTATGTATAACAAAAAGTGGACAGGTGACATATTTTTTTGTCAGGGGAAATCATAAGTTACTCTGCTTAATGTGTCAAGAACATGTGCACGCGTGCAAAGGCTATCATTTGAAAAGGCACTATATGCATGTTTGTCACAAGTAAACATGCTGACAAATTCAGTGCCTAGCAAATATTATGTCAGAGAACAAAAGAGCAAAACTTTAAAAAGTGTGCCTTCACCACAACAATGAAACCTCCTTTTTAAAATGACGGATTCTATTGTAAAATCCAGTTCACAGCTATGTCTTTAATATCCCCCCAAATCAAAGCTGTTTACTGACAGAGTTTGTTCAGAAAATTATGGAAAATGTCACAGATATAATATGCCCTACCAAAGGCAGGGGAGGATGTTTTTTAAATCTGTTTTCCTCACCAGGCTGTAGCCAGACAAAGTGAAGAAACTGGAAGATCAATCAAATCAATCTGGAGAGAGGGAGCTGCTAATTTTAGACACTGTGCCGTGCCTCGGTGATGGATGCCGGCACAGATGCTACAAGTGTGGCCCGATTGACATTTATATTAGCGGTACTAGTGACACATCTAACATCGCTGAAGAAATGGCTTTTTTTTTTAGTCACGTTAAAATATATAATTAAATCAAAGATTTACACGACACAGTAAGAAATGTATGAAGGTGGGTGTTTTCTGTCCAGTGTCAACACGTCTGGTGTAGCTACAGATGGTGTCCCAACGATGCTAAATAAAAGAGACTTGCAAAATTAACAGAAGATGGTGCATCTGCCTCCCCAAACTCCCACGTAATGAATTATTGCATAGTCCATTAAGAAAATGCATGCACAGACGCAATAAAGACAGATGTCATCACGAATATTGTCATCAAGGCTGAATTTCCTAAGGACCACGGGATTAAGTGGTTGCCAGCTCTGGAAATTCCTTAAAGTGCTGAAGTTTAATATGACCAGATTATCTACACATGAAGATGGCTAAATCAAGACCAAATGATGAAAATATGTCTTGGCTTGTGACCTGTCAAATTATTAATGTGCCAAAGCCAAAATTAATTGATGATGAAAATCAGCTTGCATATCTAACATGTGCAGTAAATGCAACTGGTCATTTTAATAATACAGTGTCTCAAATCATAACAGCATTCCAACTGAAACCAAAATTATGGCTAGATCAAAATAAGGCACAAATATGTATCTTGACACATTGACTTAGCATAGTCTTATCAAAAAAAGGAGAAAGAAAAATATAGTGGTTTTCAATTTAATGCAAGAATTTGCAAGCAAACTTCAAGATTCCTGTTAAAAATAATATTTTGAATTATTTGAGATTCCACTCTCAGTTGACACACACATGTTACCTGTTCATTTTCAAGTGGAATACATAGAGTTGCACTCTGACATATAATCTGAAGAGAATTTTAGTGATGTTCCTTTACTAGACCTGTGGTCCTAGATTCCCAGAGACAAATATCCCTTGCCAACTTCCAGTCTTGCTTTCTGACAGCACACACATGTACACACACACACACACACACACACACACACATGCACGCACACACACACTTGGGAACAGCTGGCTCTCAAGAAGTACAGATAAAGCAAAACTACAAGCAAACCATCTGAAGACCAGATGGAAACTCCCTCCCGAGCACCACAGCTCCTTCCACCCAACCAAATACCCATGCACTGGTTCCTCAGTTGTGAGGCCTTGAGCCCACTGACTTTATGTTGCCCTCTTTTCCTGTGCCTTTACAAAATTTTTTTAATCAATGAAGTTTTATTACTCAGACAGGTTCATTCTCTTTGTCAGTGAGCACGCATTTGGGATGGGATGGCTGGTTTTAGAAGACTCTCTGGATGGTTTCACCCCATCTTCTTCTTCCCTTACCTGTAATAATCCATAATCCCTTCGTGTTCTCCAGTGGAAGTTTTGGGTACAAATAAATATATATATGAATGAACAAACAAATCTGGAGCTTGGACACTCAGGTGGTCCTAGCATTCCTCATTGGGTGTCCTTCTCCATGAGGCCACCAGGGGGCCCTTGGAAAATGTGAGTCATATGGCTGCACTCGGTTTGCAGCTCCTGGAATAAAAACCTTATGTGCCTGGGCATTTAGCAACTGTCCAACCTGCTTCCAAGGCCTTCTTTCTGCCCTGGCCTGTGAGCAGCAACTCTGCCCTTCTTCCTTTCCAAGCAAGTTCATGACACCAGGTCTGCACTTGCTCTAACTTCAGGTTGCCTACACCAGACAGTGGCATGGCTCACTTCCTGTCTTCATTCAGCTTTGTACTCAGACCTCGCCTTCATGTGGAGACTGCATAGGCCCACCCTATCATACACAGCCTTCTGAACCTCCGTTACACCACTCTGATTTTTCTCCACCGTGTCTGTGACCTATTTTGCCACTTACTGTTTACTCGTTTGTAAACTCATTCAAATGATTCCCTGACTGTTGGGAGAGTAGGTCTTGTTTGTCCATCAGGGCATGCATATTTCCAGCAACTGATCAGTGCATTGCCCAAAGTAGGCATTCGATGAATACATGCTGATTTAAAAAAAAAAGAAGAAGAAGAAAGAAAAGGAAGGGAAAATAGGGAAACAAAGGCAGGAGAGCAAGGAAAGAAAGAGGAAGGAGAAAAAAGGAGGGGGCAGAAAGGGAGAGATGCTGAAAACAGACTAGAATGCAATGGAATGGCATTTACAGAACCTTTCACAGAAAACGGGGCAGATGCCGCCCACCAACCCCATTTCCTGCCCCCTAGAACTTTGGATTCACGGACTCCTTCAGTCTCTTAACCGGCAGAGATTTTCCAGGAAGCGGAGTGCAGTCTTACACTGAACTCGCAGCTCTTCGCCACATCATGAGCAGAGGAAGTGAAAGGCAACCTTGAGAGCCCTTCTTCTTTTGTGATCATTTCTGCTTCCGTGTTAGGAGCTCGTTAAAACGAGCTCAGAAACCTCCTCCTCTCACCTGCATCAGAAAGGATGCCGCCCGTCACCTCCCTTGAAGAAGAAGGGAACAGCCCCTCCGCAGCCCCTTCTGTGGCCGCTTGCGGCCCCGCCTACTTGAAGACATTGGTCCTCTTAGTACTCCCAACCTTACCTGGATATCACCCCTTGATTTTACAAGCAAAGGCACAAACATAAAAACAGCGTACTCACTTCAGAACAGGAAAGCTAGAGAGAGCATGCTCAGGATCGTGTACTGGGTACTTCCTTCCTCAAAATAACGTAGAACAGTGTGATAATTGAGCCTTCACGTTTTTCAAGGAAAATGACTCACATTTTAACCTCTTAGATTGGTGCTGTATTTCCTGCAGACTTCGGGAACCCGAAACAGCTGTTCTAACCTAAAGAATAGTACTACTGGAGTTCAAGTTTCGTGCCCAAAGCTCCAGTGTCATCCTCTGCCTGCCATGTGACCCCTATAAATGGCTTCTCCTCGTGTAAGATACTGGCTGATATGGTTAAAACACTTAAGGCATTATGCTTGTGGACATGTAATATAAATAATATTTTATATTAATTGTGATGCATATTAACATAATTAAAAACAAATCTGAAAGGAGAGGGTAGTGGATAAAGAGAAGAATGTCAGATCACCTGGAGTCAATCCAACCTTAATATTTATTAGCTGTTTGTCAGGCAAGTTAATTAATCTCTGCCTCGTGTCCATCCTGTGTAAAGGACGGTGCTACTTCGTGCTGAATGAACAGGGAGAGGAGAACTAAGAAACAAAGAGTTCAGTCACAGAGCACTTCAGCATGATGGATTCCATGACGGGAAGCAGGGGAGACTGAGGAACTACCACACAGGTTTGAGGAACCCCACAGCCCAGTGCAATGACAGATCATGAAGAAACTGGGTCACTGGAGTCCCTGTGGTCAGCTTCATCGAACTCCCTGAGAGATAAACAGGATGAGGACCAGGAATGGATCACTAACGTGAGTACCGTGGAAATAACGGCACCTTGACAGGAATCAGTCTTTGCGGGGAATGCTGAAGACACACAGAGAGAAGAGAAACCAAAGACACCGGGCATCAGCCCCTGTCAACAGTCCCTCTGCTTTGACATCTGCATTGTGCTTATCAGCATCTTAATTCCATGACCGAGCAGAACAGTGTCTAGTCTCATCTTGTCTTGACAACCTTCCTCCACCTCTCCTTTTACCACAGCCCTGCAGAAAAGCTGGGCTAAAGAATTTCTTCTCTGAGTCTACACCTGCCCATCTGAACATTGCCGAGGGAGGAAAAACTTACTAGGACACAGTGAGACGGCTCTTCCGAGGCGTTCCACAGCAAAGGGAATTCATGACGAGGCATGCTAACCACCGAGAGAACGAGGCAAAGACTTGACTTTGCACGAGAGAAATACCATTGTGTCTGCATGTCGGCGGGAGGAACCCAGTAAAGCGTAAGGCGAAACGCGGAGAAGACAGGTGGAACGTAGCTCTTCTGTAGATACAGGCTGTGAAACCGAGTGAGGGCTTAGATGTGGGGAGATGTGCGGTGAGAGTGTTAC